GCAGTTATTTTGAAATAACAGCAGCTGAGCGTCCACACTCACCCTATTTCAAAATAGCAATTTTGAAATAGGCGTCATTCTTTGTAAAATGAGGGGTTATTACTTTGAAATAATAAGCTCGTTATTTTGAAATAATTTTGAAATAACAAGTTTGCTGTTTGGACATCCACCTTATTTTGAAATAACAGGCGTTATTTCAAAATAACAGGAGTTATTTCAAAATAACTCTGTAGGGTAGACATGCACCTAGAGATTAGTTAACATAATATCAAGGGAGAATAGGAGGGTTATTTTTTAATATAGCACCTTTAAAAAAAAAGACTCTATACATGAAGCAAAGAAACCTTCTTTCTTGACCTAAGAGAGCCCACTTTCCCGGATCCCGAATTTTAGTGTAATCCAAAAAGGGCTATTATATTTCAAAATTGCAAGTTCCCATTACAACATATCTATTTTTTCATAACAAGTAAATTCACAATTTTCTGGAACCAAATGTTTAATTTAACTGGCATGTAGACTTCCAATTAGCTGCCAGAAACAGAAATCTGGTGTCAGGGCAATGCAAACTATGTCTTGATCTGTGAAATGAACTCCACAAAATCTTCATACTCAAAAGACTAGATACATATATGTTAAGGATGGAATGTCCACCAAGTATTTAGGAATGTTTCCACACCATTGCTACACAAGCAAGCTGTGTGCATTAGAACAGCTTACAATGACTTCAGTGTGTGCCAAGAAGAAAGATTTCACAGATTTGAAAGCAACACTGAAGATTGGTTGAAATAACTGCTTCAAGGCCATAGGTTCAGCATTTTTGTTATACACAAATCTCCAGTATTTTGATCACTCTGGCTGCATCTAGACTGGCATGATTTTGCAGAAATACTTTTAACGGAAAAGTTTTCCGTTAAAAGTATTTCCGCAAAAGAGTGTCTAGATTGGCACAGATGCTTTTGCACAAAAAGTGCTTTTGCGCAAAAGCATCTGTGCCCAGTATAGACACGTTTTTGCGCAAGAAAGCTTCGAAGGCCATTTTAGCCATCGGGCTTTCTTGCACAAAAAATTAAGGTGTCTGTCTACACTGGCCCTCTTGAGCAAGTATTCTTGCGCAAGAGGGCTTATCCCTGAGCAGGAGTGTCAAAGTATTTGCACAAGAAGCACTGAATTCTTACATTAGAACTTCAGTGTTCTTGCCCAAATTCAAGCGGCCAATGTAGACAGCTGGCAAGTTTTTGCGCAAAAGCAATTGCTTTTGCACAAAATCTTGCCAGTCTAGACGCATCTTCTGGGTGAAAATATAGTCTTTCATATACATATACAGGTTGGACCTTCCCTCCCCGCCCTGCTGCTAGCCCTCTCCCTGCTCTCCCCCAACTAGGCTTCTTGGCTCCCCCCACAGTGCAGCTGAGAACCCCCCCCCCACACACACACAACGCAGTCAAGCCATGCACCCGTTCCCATTCCACACCCTGCCCCCCATGCAGCCCAGCTGAGCCGTGCTCCGACTCCTGCTCTTCCTCCAGCCCATAGCCCAGCTGAGCCTGCTCTTGCCTCTCCACTTCCTGCAGCATATTGTGACTCTCTGATCCATTGTTGGACCAGAGAGTTCCAGTTTATAGAGGTGCAACTTGTACATATATACATATATTCAATACATTTTTTTAGTCACTTACTAAAGGGCTGGGGCAGCAGTTGGAGGTGATAAATGCAGGCTATGGGAGGGAGTCTGGCTGCAAAAGAAGACTCTGGGTTGGTGTGGGGGATGGGAGCAGGGGTTCCTGGCAGTAGTTACTATGACTCCCAGGAAGTGGCCATTCAAGTTTCTGTGGCCCCTAGGCTCAGAGAAGCTCCATCCACATGCTGCCATTATACCTGCAGGCACTGCTCCTGTAGTAGCCAATGAGAGCTTTGGAGCCAGTACTCCATGTGCCCCTTTATGCTGGCTCCATAGCTCCCATTGGCTGGGAACAACAAACAATGGGAGCTGCAGGGGTGGCATTTGTGTGTGAGAGGGCAGTATGTAGATGGAACCTCCCAGTGATTAGGAGCTGCAGGGACCTAGCAGCTGTTTTTGGGAGCCGTGTGGAGTCAGGATAGGTGTACTCAGTGCTTTTTTATTAAAAAAAAAAAGTGCCAGTACTAGGGTTGCCAATGGGGCCAAAATGCAGTCATGGCCCCCTTTAATTGCCGTGTGTCCCTAGCAAGCTTCCATCCGGCACAATGCAAGTGTTCCCAGGGCCGCTGGGGGCTTTGCTAGAGAAAAGCAGTGAGTGCTCCCAAAAAAAAAAGCACTGGTTGTGTTGTTGATCAGTGTCGCTAGGGTTCCTTTTTTGACTAGGCATTTTGGTTGAAAGCAGAATGCCAGGCAACCCTATGTGTGTGGCTTGAGGGGTGCGGGGGTCACGCAGAGACAAAATGCTTTGCTGTCCCTCATTGAGGTAAGCAAGCAAGCAGGGAAAGCTGAGAACTTGCTGTTGGGAGGGAGGGGATAAGAAAGTTAGACCACTTGTATTTAGCTGTTCAATAGGGATTTAGCTATTCAAGTCTGAGTTCCCTAGGTCTTTTTTGTTTTGGTTTGGTTTGGTTTTTTTTGTTCTACTTCATAATACACAATAGTATTCCTGAGATGGAATCTAAGTCCCAATATACTGAATTAGCTGCATTTTGTGATACTTTCCTGTTTTAATTATAATTGATTGAGGTGCCTAAGTGTAACCAACACCAGGCAGATTTGAATCTGGGACCGCTGGAGCTGAGTATAGGAGCCTCTACCCTCTGAGCTAAAAGCCAGCTGGCTCCCAGCCCATGCTGTAGAGGTCTCTTGGTCTTAACTGTTGCTGTGGTCTAGGAACCACTTGCATTGCTCAGTAACCACATGAGGTGTGTGGGTTACGTAAGCACTCTTGAAAATCCCAGTAGGTGCTTATCTGCATCTTTAAGTGCCTAACTACCTTTTTAAAATCTGTTTGCAGTGGTGGTGTTGCTGTGTCGGTCTCAGGGTACTGGAGAGATCAGGCAGATAAGGAAATATCTCTTTATTAGTCCTACTTCTGTTAGTGAAAGAGGCTAGTTTTTGAGCTACACTGAGCTCTTCTCCAGGTCTGGGAAAGGTTGTCAGCATGTCACAGCTAAATCTTAAATGGAATTGATAGTTTAACACAGTGGTCCCCAACACGGTGCCATGGCGCCTGCGGGGGCATTTGTGTGCTCCCGCCAAGTGCTGGGGGCTGGCCTGGCCCTGGGCACGTGGCGCATGCATGGTGCCGGAGCCAGCCCCAGGCGCATGGTGCACGGTGAGCGCTGGCCCCGGGAGCACCGCGGATTGGCCGCCCGCGCTCTGGGCGCATGGCGCTTGGGGGGGAGCGCCGGCCCCGGGCGCGCGGCACTTGGAGGGGGCGCCGGTCCCGGGTGTGTGGCACTTGGGGGAGGGGCACCGGCCCCTGGCGTGAGGCTATGGGGGGGCCGCCTCCAACGCGCAAGTGGCCCTGCCCTCTGGAGCCCATTGGGCGAACGGCCACGCCCCCTCGCGCCCGGCAACCTCAAATGTTTGGGGACCACTGGTTTAACATGAGGCCGTTAACATACATTCTAAGAGACCACTTAACCTTAAATGTGACTGGTATGCTAAACGATCTGTTCTGCATTTTGCTGTAATTCTGAGCTCTTTAAGTTTGGAAAAATTACTTAGTGTAGGTTGAAAACTTATCTCTTTCACCAACAGAAATTGGTCCAATAAGAAGTTATTACCTCATCCACCTTGTGTCTCTTTAAGTATCTAGCCTCTTATCCTTTTCTTATGTCATGCTAGGATTACAATAATCTTTTACCTGCCCATTGCCCTGTATCCACCTGAGCTGTACTCAGGTACTTAGGGCAAAATCCATTTCCCCACATGCACAAAGCCACTGCAATCTGGCTCTGTATGGGTAGAGGGCTAAAGTTAGTGAAATCAACAATTCTACCACATGGGGCATTGGTGTTCAGTTACCTTTCTCACACGCAGCCAGCCTATATGCACACTGGTTTTATTTCATACAGGCTGTTGCATGGGATTTGCAAATGACTTGATGAATATACAGGTAAAAGTCATAGCCCAAGCCCATTCTGGCCTTCTGTGTTGGCCTCTGGAAGTCTGATTTGGACACTGGTCACAGCATGTACGGTCTGCATCTTACAAGGCCTTTCTGGCCTCAGTTTGGTCCTGCACGGAACCTATGTAGTGGGGAAAATCTTGCCCTGACTCTCCATTCCATGAATGAATTTGAGATTTAATAGAGACCCAAAGTTGTGGATACCCAGCAGCATAGAGATCCTCCACATGGCGTGAATATCTCCCCTGTACAAATTTGGTGCTAATTTTCAAAGCTGAGAGGAGATCATTGCCTGTTTTCAAATGTGCCAATTTGAGTGAAAAATTATCTAGGTCCCATTCAGCAAAGCAGCTAATGTGCTTTATCAATAAGGATAGACAGCTGAATCAGGGCTGGATGGAAAAAAAGATTACAAGGCAACTTAAATTAGTTTGTATCTGAAATACCATGTCCCAAAACTCCTCAGGAGAAGATATGTCCTTTCTAAATTATTTTTCCAACCTAGATAGAGTTAGAAAATTCTTTTAAGAGGTATTTGATATAACAAGTTGGAAATCCATATGCCTCTAGAACTTTTCTTATTTCTTCAGGAAGCTTTTGATAGCTCATCAAAACACACTGACATATCAGATCAATGGAAACTAGACAGTCTGAAGATATTGTAAAAATTAAAGCCAGTCAATAAATAGCTGTCCCCAACAAAATGAAATATGGTGTTTTTGGTTTAATTTCTTACATTTTTTGAGAATTCATCATGGAAATCTGTGGAAAAACAGACTCTGCTAATCTCCTAAGGATGAAAGCTTGGCCCCATTGAACTAATTTCATGCTGACTTTAATGAAGCCAAAATTTTTGTCCATACAATTAATAAATGCATGTAACAGAAATAAATCAAAACTGCTTACTTGATCTTTGGTTTTTGATGAAAAATAGCTTCAGTCTCTCTTTAAATGTGTTTTCATTCATATAAAATTCAACTTGTACCCTAAAACAGAAAATAGAATATTAGAATTAAACAATCTATTAAATGATTATCTGGGTATATTTGCACCACAAAATATCAGCATTTTCATGTTATTTCTCTTGACATTTTTCTTAGCATAAAATTAGAGGAACATATTTAAGCACTTAGAACAGATTGATTAGAATTTCATTATTGTTGTTTGCTGCTTTCAATAATCTCCCTCATTTCTTTCCTGAGCTATGTCTACCCAGGAGCATTATTTCAGAATAACTAACGTTATTCCGAAATAACAATGAGTGTGTCTACACTACATGTCATTATTTTGAAAGACTAGCAAGCTGGAGGACTTCTTACTCTGACTCCTGTAACCCTAATTTTATGAGGAGTAAGGGAAGTTGGAGGAACAGTGTTCTTCCTTCAATTTCCTGCTGTATAGACTGCGCCAAAAGCTGAATTAAGCTATTTTGACTTAAGCTATACAAATGACATAGCTCAAGTTGCGTGTCTTAATTCAATTTTAGCCCTGCTGTGTAGGCATACCCCTGATGTTTACATTTTTCAATTATCTTCTAGTGAGTACTTCTTCTCCACACTGTTCCCTCCAAACCATGATTTTAGCGGGCACTCAAGGGATTCGACAAAAACAACAAGGCCCTTTTTCCCTCTCCTTCCCGAGGAAAGGATCAGAGTAAAGAAAAAAGTGAAAGGTGATAAGTCTCTTAGGCAGTTTTTCTATCTCCCCTTTGGGGTTTGGCTTAGGGTGCGTCTAGATAGCATCCTTCTGTTGGAATAAGCTATGCAATTTGCACTACGCAAATTGTGTAGCTTATTCTTAGTCTAAATCAAAAGAGCTTATTTTGAAGACAGCACCAAACAAGGGTTACAGTGATGCTAGGGTTGCAGGGATGCCAGAATAGTGCACTCGCTATTCCCGAAATAGCAGGCGCTTTTAAAGATGCGGCGTTGCTATTGTGAGATACTTCCAATATCCCGAAAGACCAACACAGTCTACATGTCCCTTATTTGCAGGTATATTGTTTTTAATCAGCAGTTGAGTTTGACTCCAGCCCCAGATCTTGCTCACTCTTGCTTTATATCTGGTCTATGCTGTGAGTTCTAGAGCTGTTGTCCTCTTTTGTTGCTCTGTGCATATCGCAGTTTATCCTAATCACCACATCTTCAAGAAAAAGACTTTTAATTTTTAAGCTTTCTCCTTCCAAACAGATCTTACAGGTAAGTGCATTTCTTTAGTGCTGTCTGTGCCTAGGTCTTATTAGCCTCTTCTCTACTAGATGGAGGGGATTACCCCTCATCCCTCAAATTGGAAAAGCATCCTGGTAATCTCCATCTCTGATTTTTCTGTGAAAAGCAACTGGCATTAACACAGTCCTTTCCTGCCTGGTATTGCACTCTAAAATTATAGGGTTGTAGCACCAAGTACCATTACATTATTCATTTGTTCATGTATTTCATGGTATGGAGCCAGTGGAAGGGAAAATAGTCTGTGAACAAATATTGGGGCTCATTCAGTCACTAGTGCTCTCTTTTCAGTAATTGAGTATTCTCTAGGGAATAACTTCCTGGTACAGTATACATTTGGATGTTCCCCTTCAAAGTCTTGTGAGAGCATGACACTTAGGCTGACATCTGGAACATCTATGTGCAGTATGAATTTAGCAAGAAAAATCAGGGCTGAAGAGCACAGATGCCTGGCATAGCTTCACTTTCAGTTCATTAAAAACTGTCCTCCCTGTTCCAATCCCACCAGCTCTTTTTTGGTTGGTTTACCTTTAATGAGGTTTGTCAGGCAAGCATTACACTTCCAGTAATAAATTGCCAGACTAAGAAAACACCTCATTTGCCTCTTCTGGGCATTCAATTAGGGCCTCTGCCTTGTCAATTACTAGTTTTATGATTCTGCACCCAACTTGGTCCATCAAATTGGGTACCTTAGACACTAGTTACAACTTGTGGGGCTGGCCCTAAAACCTGCATCTTGACAGGTTTTTAGCCCTGCCTTTAATTGCTGCAGGTGGGATGCCCTGGTAGGATTCTGAATAACAGTGTAGACATTAGCTTTCTAATGGTGCCACTTCAATAGTATCCCTAAGAAAAGCATGCCAGATGTTTAGTCAGGGAAATAAGGGGAGATTACATCGCTCTTTAATAATAAAGTGCTTTTCTTCAATACTGCTGTTAAATTTTTAACAGGAGACATATATTACTTGGTTGTGCCATGCAAAATATACATTCTTTATCTTTGATGAGTTTTTTAGACGGGTAAATAAAGCTATTAGATGAGGGACTTCCATTTAAAAAGGAACACTGAGTTACTGATCTCTTGACATGGCTTAAACGAGTCTCACATCTTTTCAGAAAAAAAATCACAATAGTCAATTGCAATGAAACAATAACATGATAACAGTAAATAGTGATATAATAATGAGGAAAGAGACTGTGGGTGCTAATCACTTTCCTATCAGCTGCCATTACAAATCTCTCTGATAGGCTGACAAC